TGCGAGAGGAGCCGCGGCTTCCCCGTGAGGAGAGGAAAAGAAAGCAGCGCTCGCCGGTGCAGGCTGAGGGCGCCGTCCCGGACCGCGCTCTGGCTGGGCTCCTATGGTGACAGTTCATGGGATGTTTCCCATGGCGTTTGCTTTTTCCTTCTCTGGCTTTTTGTCGCAAAGAATAGACATCCGAGGGATTTGGGACGAGGGTTGGAAGATGGGAGAATTTGGGGGAGGGGCAGAGGTGGGATTTTGTCAGCCAGAAATGTTCTGTCAAAATAAAATAAGAATAGGCTCAGTCGTGTAAGCTGAGTGGTCATGGGCCGAACAGGTAAAACTTTGGGAAAAGTGATTCCTCGTGTCTGGTGGTTTTAGAATTTCAAATGACAAGACTGAGACCATCCAGCAAAGCAAAAATGCATAAAGGTCTTTGGAAATCATACGGAGGCTATTTCATGGGAGCTGTGCTGGTTTCTGTGTAAGTTGGGAGTTTGGTAAATTCCTCTGTCTTCCAATAAGGCTCTGTGGGTTTGGATTTAATCATTCACCTTGGTATTTGGTGGCTGATCCCTAGTCACCAGCTGAATGTGCCTCCCGGCCGGCCTCAGGCTGCAAACTTTCATGTGGGCTGCCTCGGGCAAGCAAATATTTGTGAAAGAAAGGCCTTTCATCTGTTCGGCCTTCCTCCTGAAAAATTTCACCCTCTGCTGCAAAGAGTAGAAGGTCAGGCTCTGGGCAGGCCCAGGAGATTTGGGGGGACAGGGTGGGTGGAGGGAGCCTGTTGAGGGGTGCATCTCCATGCCCTTGGAAAGTATGCCCGAGTGCCACATGCTAGGGGATCACCTCACTCACTGGCCTGGCTGCTGACTGACCGCAAAAGAGACCACATCCAAGGCCCTGTAGTATGTGGTCAGCTGCTGGCCTCAGGTGGGTAAGGAGAGTAGTAATGTCCACCTTTTCCCCGAGAGACAAATATGAAATGATTCTGAGCGTGCAATTTTAAGGTGAATCCTTGCTTTGTTGCCATTGAAGAAAGCCCAGGCAGGAGCTGGTGGCTTCCTTCCTCAAGTCCTCCTTGTCCTTGCTGGGAGAGCCCTCTAGTTTGGAAGAACCGTAAACACCAGTGTGATAGGAGGCCAGAGTTCCCCTCCTAACGTGCTTGTGGAGACTCCCTAGTGATTAATCTAGAGAGTTTAGAACACACAGCGCTGGCTTGAGGCTTGTCCTGTGCTGGGCTTTATTTTGATAAGCAGTGACTCTATCTTTGAAATCCTCCATGCCTATCGCTAAGTCCTGGCTGTGTTTTCCTCTGGTTCTCCCCAGATGTTTCTTACCTTTAGGGAGGAAAGGGTTATCTGCCTCTAGGAGCCTTGTTTCTGAGCTTTGCTTCAGGGTCTGCTGGCTTGTGGAATGCAGCGGGACAGCCAAGGAAAGGTAGGTCCTGCTGTCTAGCTTTTCTGTGTGCTTTGAACACTAAGAAATGCTGTGAAAGCACAGGATCCTCCCCAGAATACAACCTCAGCCATCTTGATTGGAATTTGAGATGTTTTATTTAAAATTTACTTATGACCTCTCATATCTAAATGTATTTTTCAACCACTTTCTGTAGATCATGTGCTTAGGAACAGCCTGGCCATACCGGCAGACTGATCATCAGTGTGCTAACTACCCTAGAGTTTTCTGCTTCTTAGTTATCTCCATATATAAAGTGTGTTTTTTTCTGTGTGTAGATGAAGGGGTTTAGCTGCCCTTAGGAACAGATGCCAAGGTGTATCTCAAAGAGGAAAAGAAAGAGTGAAAGTAGTTATATAGAGAGGGAGAGGCCGTGGCGTGGACGCTGTTCCTGCTAGTTATCTCTTGGCTGGTGGGTTATTACAGAAGTTTTTCTGCTTTTCTTAAGTCTGAATTTTGCAATGTTTACTTTTGAAATATTTTTATATGACTATTATAATTAGAAAATAAATAAAAATGGGAAAAATACATGGAATAGTGTGAACTCCAACATCTTCATAAAACCCTGGCTTTTTTATTCTAAAGCTATTTTAAAACAAAACAAAATTAGTATGTTAGAAGTTTAACAGAATATTTTAGAAATATTTACATGGGGAACTTGATATTCATGATGGTAACAGAATAAATTTCTAACCTGTTAGAAATTTTAGCTATTTTCCTAAGTAGCCTCGAATTCCAAAGCATTTAAAAAAAAATCTTACCCTATTTCTCTCCTTTCTTAATGACTTATAACCTTTCAGAAATGTTAATGAGGTACTTAGGGTCTTATAAAAGTGTGTGGGGAATAACCATAGCACTAATTGTGTGACACAGAATTTAGAGGTGAAAGCAAAAACAGAAAAGGTGTGTGTGTGTGTGTTTTCATGCTAGTTGTGGAGAATCAAGAACAGAAGATATAATATTTATTTAAAAATTGAGTGCATGATATTTACTATTTGCATCTTAGTTCCCCTTTTCTCTCTTTGAACCACTCATTGCCTTAGCACTAACCAAACCGGCAAGATTAACGGTCAAGATCCTTCTGATCTTAGATCCAAGTTTTCCACCTCATTGTTTTCTTTCTGTTCTTCTAAAGTGATTGCTTCACAAATTAAATGTCCTTCTTATGCCTTCTGAGTTCTCAGCAAGTGCAGGGCACAGGCAGAGCTGGTCACTGGATGTACAGCACTAGGTGAGGACTTACCCAGAACTTAGCGTGAACCATGTGGTTGTTTATTGAACAATTAAGACTGGAAAGGAAAATGGAATGCTGATTGTTCATAATAAAATACACAATTCTACCATTGCAAAAGTAGCTGTAGAAAGCGTTAAAAAAAAAAATCCCTGTGTCAGTTAGCAACATGGTCCACTCTGGTTTCTTTTATGTCTTGGCTATTTACCTCTTGTTTAAATAAAGTACATTGTTATATATTAATCATAACATTAGACCTACAACTTGTCAGTTGAAGAAATATTTACTCTGAATTGCCAACAATTTGAGGGACCAATTACATATTAAGTATGGAATGTCAGTGCATACAACTGAAAATGTGGAGGTTTTTCAGAGGAGTAACAGTGTAATCATGGCCTTTGGAAGTGCGGCTGCAGTCCTGCGGTGGCTTCCTGGGCTCACATGGACACTAGGCTTGCGGAGACTGGAAATAGGGCAGTCTCCGTGGCTCAGGTGCCCTGCAGCAGAACCTCCCGTGGTTTGCTTCTCATTTATTCTCTTCTCCAGTGTTTTTCTTTGATGGTCATTGAATCTTCTAAGTATGTAATATATTTTCAAAGACATATTTTCCTAACCCTACCAAAGCAGCTCTTCATTTTCAGAAAGTTGTTTTTAACCTAAAACATAAATTAAAAATTACTAAAAGAAAGAGACAAAGACCCATTCATCTGCCAGATTATTGAAGCTTTTAAAAAAGCAATGTCAGTTGGTGGTGAGGGCACAGTTAAATATATTATGAACTGCATTATTATTATTATTTGTTAACAATAGTGATGTTGTTAAGTTACAGAAATAGAACTTAAAGTCACAACTTATTATACTAAGTTATGAGTGATGATGACTAATGATGCAATTGATAACATAAATACTATTATTATATTAATACAGGTTAAGTTGCTATCAATTGTAATGTATGCATATTAAGTTATATATGCTTAAACTAATATTAAGTGTATGAAAGTAAGGGTAAGATATTCAGTGTATAAAATTGCCAATATTTGACCATGTTTGACCTGCAAAATTATAATTTTGTATGGTTTAGCCTGATATATTTTGTGACAGAACATCAGAAAATACTGCACAGTTAAAAGTACAAATAAGGACTTAAAATAAAGCTTGGATTCCAGCAATGCTGTTGATATTTTGGTTTGTTTCCTGTTGGTGTTGTTCCTCCTGTGTGTATATATGTATTTAACAGTACTGTAACACATCAGTCTAGGGTTTTATATCCTGTCTGTTATTTAACATGGTAGCACAAACATTTCCTTGTGCCACTAGATACTTAGAAGCACAGCATTATCCTATGTACAGTACTTAGAAGCACAGCATTATCCTATGTACAGTTCACCGTGTTGTATCAATGTACTGTGGCAGAACCTTTTTAGCTACTCATTCAGTGGACATTTAGTTCAATATTCTCTCAAAAATAAAACAGGTAAATATCCTTGTGTGTGTGTGTGTGTGTGTGTGTGTGTGTGTGTGTGTGTGTAGGTCCCATTATTTTGTTAAGACGAATCCTAAGAAAGGAGGTAGGGTTTTGGAGGTTTAAGATTTTATTTTCGTCCCCTCACCATTTCCAGAGGGGGAGGCAGGTCTGCACAGAGCCCCTCAAGTCTCAGAGCCACAGGCAGAGCTGCAGGTCGCCTGGACCCCACCAACAGGGGCGCTGTCCTCAGAAGCTTCAGGAGTTTGCTGTGTGCTATATGCTAAGCTATCATGGTTTATTTGCATTTGTTTGATTTCAGGAGAGTGAACACTTTTTTCCCATATTTTTAATTGGGTACATGTCTTAATTTTCAGTTCACATTCTAAGCAGATTTTAAAAAGGAAAAAGCTGTGGTTGATACAATGTTTGTTAATATTTTGTTTCCTTTCACCATCCTGAGAAGCCTTATAACTCTTATTTTTTATAAATGAAAAGGGAGGTGGCAGTGGTGCCTTTTTAATGGATCCACTTGCAACTCTCCACCTAGTGACCACAGTAATACCTCCTAGACAGCAAAGTCTGGCGACCAGGTCTGTTTGTCTTTGTATTCTACAGTGGGGAGCCAGTGCCTGGTGTGTCCCCTGCAAAACAAGCATCTCAGTGAATTGGGGCTGGAGTAAGGGTGCAGCACCCGCTCGCTGACATGAGCACTGCCAGGTGTCGCTGGCCCTGCCCTCCTCAGCCTGTGCCATTCACCTTGGTGCCCTTGGGTGGGCTCTGCACGGGTGCTAATGAGGCCAAGGTCAGAGGTTCCATCTGCATGTGACCTATTTAGCTTTGTTCTACATTGTGGCCACAAGTTGTGCTCTGTCCCCCATGACTAGATGCCTTATACATGCATGCTATTAATTACAGAGAGGACAGGCGAGAGGGAGGGGACAGGTCTCCACGGTGGAAGGACCTGAAGAACCGCTAGTCCAGCATCCCCACTGTACTCTCAGGGGAAGACTGTGACCCGAAAGTGTCCTTTTCTCCTCCTGTGTAGTGTCCTGGGCTCGATCCAGCTCAACACACACACACACACACACACACACACACACACAGCCTGCAAAGCAGACATTCTGACAGTGAGGGGAGACAGCTCAACCCCTCTCTTAAGTGCCAGTGGATATAGTTAGAATTTATGTTATAATCCTAGCCATTTGAGTCTAAAGACAGAGCCAATGCTTAAAGAACTCAGAAATCTTTCACAAAGAGCATTGCTTTAGGTGGTCTCATTCAAGTTCTTTAGAAGGGACAAATCATTTTTGATGAAACTGTATTTGCAGTGATTTGGGAAAAGAAAAATTTGTAGGAATAAGTGGCTTAAGTCAAAATCAAATTACCTTTTATCTTCTTAAACCAATGATCATTTCTATTTTATGGAATGACCATTTCCCCAGTCCCACAGAGGCTAAAATCCATTGTATTACTTCTCTCCTTGAGAATTACTTATTTCTCCTTCTTTTTCATATCTCCTCTGCCACTTCTGATTGCCTACCCCTCACTTCCATCTCTGTCACCATAGTCCTCCCTTTCCCACCAGGACACCACAAAGCCTTTTCCTTGCCTGGACCCATTTGTGGTTTCCCATTACCCGCTCAAAAAGTCTCAGTTTTATTAATGTTAAAGCCAAGAGTTGCTGTTTCTATATAGATTTTTTTTTCTTTTAGTTCATGCAGCAGGTTTTGTGATAGCTCCATGTCACTTAGGAAGGACTGAATGCCCAAGATGACTCCAGTCCTGGGAGGGTCACGAGCAGCCCAGTGGTGTGTTTGTGAGTGAATCACTCGCTGAGCACTTGGACACAAATACTAGCATTGTCATCAAGACATGGCCAAGCCAGGGATTCACCTGTGTGTGACTGTGCATGTGTGAGAAGAGTTGTCTATGAGAGACATCCTCATTGCAAAGACTGAAAGAGAATTTTTCACCTTAAATGTAGTTTTTAAGTTTAATGCCACCATATCTTCTATATTTTCTTATTTATGTTTAGGCATTATTTGGGTAAATTAAGAAAGTTGTTGATTGTCAGGAAAGAAATATAAATGGATGAGCATGGATCAGAGCCAGACAGATGGGGTTCAGCCCTCGGGTCCGCCACTCAGTGTCAGTAGCCTTAGCCCCTGGGCCTCAGTCCTCTCCGTAGTGTGCCACGGTGTGAATGTACACCGGAGGGTTTGCTGGGAACAAGAAATGCAGCAAAGCATGCCAAGGAGCTAATAGTAGTGTATGGAGTGTGCCAGACACTCGTGGGTGGTCGGTGGCTTCTCCTTTTGTGTATCCTGATTGTGGCTGTCAGAAGCAGGTTTTTACTCAGGGTTCATGGGCTGTTTATTGGGTTGAATTGAGAGATTCTTAGTGAACTTGTGCACCTACTAGAGCGGATTTCAGGCAGCTTACAGAGGGTAAAGGATTACAAGCTTGACCATTCACCATTTTAGCTGTTGCGTACCTGTCCGAGATGTGAAATGTGCAGGTACAGTCATAGCGACAGTTAGATTTGCACCAGATTATGTCATATGTGTGCAGCTCTCTGAGTGGATGTGTGGGTCATAGAATTAAGCGCTATTGACTTAAAATGCTGGCATTGAAGAAAAACTTGAAGGGGCCATCTTTCTTTTGTTTTGTTTTGTTTTGTTTTTGAGACAGGGTCTCACTGTGTAGTTGAGACTGACCTGGAACTCACTATGTAGCCCAGGCTGGTCATAAACTCACAGTGATCCTCCTGCCTCAGCCTCCCAAGTGCTGGGATTACAGGCGTGCACCACCATGCCCGGCGAAGGGGCCATCTTTCTAGTCCGGTGGGCCACGGGTGCCCAGTCCCCTGCCTCGCACTGTGGCGGCCTCTCTGATGATGGGAGTGCATGGGGTGGGGCAGCCCATCCACTCGGCAGTGAGGATCCTAGAGAAAGCAGGGGCCCATGTCAGGGACCGGAAGTCCTCATGACTGAAGAGATCTGGGAGGAGAGAGGTCAGGGCTCTGTGTGGATGTGGAGGTGAGTGGGGCCGGGTGGGGAAGGGGGGCCTCCCCGTGAATCTTTGTGGCTGTCACACAGGTTACGGCTGGGGTGCTGCTCAGCCCCAGCCCTGCACCGCTCCACTCAGCTGCTGGCCTGAGCATGGAAGCCCGGAGTGCATGCTGCTGGCCTGTGAGAAGAAGAGGAGTTTCCATCAGTCCCAGCCTGTCAGCCCTCAGACCACAGGGGCAGGTTAGGGCCTCTTGATGGCTGCACCTTTGCTGACAGTGTTTGTCGTGCCACTTAAGATATTGCTAAATATGATTGCAGGTGACTTGCCTCACCCCAGAAGGTCAGTGGCCCGCATGTGTGTTCACAAGCGCTTTTTCTTCTTCACCACTCTGGCAACTGGGCTTCAGGACAGCCAGCCCTGGCCGCACAGCCCATGGGTCTGGGGACTCTGGCCTCACCCACCACGATTGGTGGCTAAGTTGTTTCTGTGTTCCCGGGCTGGTCACACCCATAGTCTCACATGTAAGAGGCAGCCTGTCCAGTGAAGTCCTGTGTCACGTGGCCCTTCTCGCCTGTGTGCACTCCCTTCACAGGTGCTTATGCTGAGAGCACACGGAGCTGGGACACGGGATGTGGCCTTGTGGACCCTGCTCGCCAGGTCCAGCTTCTCTGTCCTCCCTTCTCTGAGTGAGCAGCCCGTGGCCTGCAGCTCCTCTGGTCTGGCCGCGGGAGCATCTGGAGTGTTAGGGTTGCCGTGGTTAGTTGTCCGGGGTACAGGAACCCCACCTTGTCCTCCCCAAGATGGAGAGGCCCAGGGAAGTGCCTGTGGACAGTGCAGCCCCACCATGGCGATGGCCTGGACTTTCTGCCCCTGTGGCTGGCTGTGCCAGGCAGGGCACGCTTGTGGACCCCAGGGAAAGCTCACACATCTGAAGCACAGTGTTTTCCTCGCACCTTTGTGGGCCAGCAGGCATTTCCTGGCCGTTGTGTGAAGTGGCCAGGGACTGTTTCCAGCCGCTGGAGTGGTGGAGCTGAGCTGGCCCAGCTCCCTGACCTGGCCAGCTTTCGTGTGCTGCTCACCCGGGCCCACAGCTAGCCTGCATGGGCGCAGAGGCGGGGTGCCAGATGTGACTGGGATCTCTCCTGCCCTGTACAGACTTCTGTCCATTTCTGCTCTCCTCTCCTGGTCCTCTTGCCTTCGGAAAGATTATACCAGGGCAGTCTGCTGCTCAGGAGCTATGCTGAGGTGGCATTTGGGCGTGGACCCCCTCAGCCAAGAAGTTCGACTCGTCCCCAAGGTCATTGGGAAGAAACTTATTTCTGTGGAGCTGGGTGTGTTGGCTCACACGTGGAGACTGAGGCAAGAGGATCGTGAGTTTGAGTCCATCCTGGGGAGTTTAACAAGTTTAGCAATTTATCAAGACCCTGTCTCAAAACAAAAAAGAGCTGAGAATATAGCTCAGCACGGTGGCCCTAGGTTCAAAATAAAGATTCACGTGGAAAGGAGAATTTCCAGAGTTCTGTGGTCTGGTGTGTGCCCTTGATTGGCATGTTGTTTGCTCGCTGGGAGACTGAAGACCCATTTCCTGCTGCCAGTTAACCGCCCAGGGAGTTGCCTGGCAGCTTCTCTGGCTGCTTCCATGGAAGCCCGTTGTGCTGTGCTCTTTTGTGCAGGGTGAGAGGTGTGTGTATGAGGTGGAGGCAGGGGGTGTAATAGTACAGTGATAGTTTCTCTTTTTAGAAACATAAAATAGTAGTCACAGCTTCCATGCCCATGTTTATGCCGTCCTCGCCCCTCCAGCCTGAGGATTTTAAATGAGGGGGCAAGAGGCTGGTGGGCAGGGTTGGACGTTCCTTTGCTTAAATACTATGCTGACCAGATGTGCTTCATGCCTGTCATCTTAGCACTCTGGGAATCTGAGGCAGGAGGACCTCATGTTCGACCCTAGCTTAGACATCTTATTCAGACCCAATCTCCTAATAAAAATAAAAAAGGGCTGGGATATAGCTCAGTTGGTAGAACACTCCTGGATTCAAGCCCAAGCACTGAGAAACAAAAAACAAGAACCACTACTCAACATTTTCGTTCAAGAGGCATCTGTCCTTGGTGCGATCCTCTGCCACATCCCTATGTCCCGCTGCCCCACGAACACTTGGCAGGGCATTGGGTATTGGGAGATCACCACTTCCCTCTTTGGGGCTGCCTGGGGTGGGGAGAGGGACTGCGGCTTTGCAGGGACAGCTGGTCACCCAGCGCTCTCTCCTGTCCCCCTAGTGATGGGTTGTGCCACCATGGCGGTGCCAGCAGGCGAGCGATGGTGAAGCCAGCACACCATGTACAGTGTGGAGGACCTGCTGATCTCTCACGGGTACAAACCACCCCGAGACCTCCCAGTGCCACGTGGGACGAAGGCTGATGGGCACGCACAGGCGAAGACAAGGACCAGAGGCAGCCAAGGCCTGCAGAATGGGTGTGAGGATGGTGCTGCTGCCCTGGCTCCAAGCAGGCTGGCCCCGGGGCCAGGCCCCATGAGGGCCCCTGAGGCCCACCGCAGCACACCAAGGTGCCACACGGAGCACCACAGGACTTCTGTTTCCGGAGCTCCAGAGGCGGGGTAAGCTCCCCATTGAACCAGTAGGTGCTTTTGCCTTGGGACTTTGGCTCTGGATTATGCATAAGTAAACTCTCCCACCTTTTGTTTGGCTGGGGCAGGGGAGGAAAGAAGGGTCCAAGAGGAGGTGCTTCTCCTTGTGCGTTGTGTGGATATCCCAGCCATACTGATCACAGTGCCACCGCAGTGGCCCTCAGGAGCCCCACGGAGTGACAGGTCGTCCACTTCTCTCGACAGCCTTCTGCTCAGTTGCTTCAGATGGGAATCATTTTAGAGTCTGGTAAAAGCTAGTTCATGTCTATTCATGCAGTCTTGGTACATTGGCTTTCTTATTAATCCCTTTCAAAATTTTGCAGGCTACAGAGCATTGAGCGGGAACTGCCTCCCTTCCATTTGTGAAAAAGAGGACCATCCTTTGATATTCACCTGACTCCATTGGCATCCCCCCTGCCCCCTCGCACACACATTGGCCGGCTGTGGGGTCCCATCCCCACACAGCTGCCTCTGTGGGTGTTTCCTGATGGGCAGAGGAAACTCCAGCAGCTGGCCTTGCAGTAGGCAGTGTGCAAGAGCAGCCCTGAAACTCTCTTCCAAACAGTTTCAGCTCTGAGGAAACCTCTGTTGTCTCCTCACAGAACTGTGCCTATCTTTAAAAGTGCATTAGGACCAGAATAGCTTAGAGAAGAAGAATCCTTGGAGATACAGAGCATGTTACAGGGCTGGGACCTGGAAACACCCAAGGGCAGGGGTCTAAGAGAAGCAAATAGAAAAGGTGGTGGAATAAGTCTTATGGAAAGGCACTGGTCTTCCCGAGTTACAGGTCACCTTCCCCGAGAAGACTTCTTCCTTAATGGGGCGTGATTGGGAGGGCTTTGCTTTATTAGAGCATTCAATACCTTGGTTCCTGAACAGAGGCAAGAGTTCCTCTTCCTGCCGTGTGGGAACCGGGCTTGCGTTACACGTCTGAGCTGTCATGAACGAAGGGACAGGGTTCGGGGTGGAAAGCATAGGAGCTGTGCCCTCACCTTGCCTCCCGGAATCCCACCACCCTCTGCTTCCTTGGGCTTCACACTGTGGGCCATGTGCCGGCTGTGGATCTTGGAAAAGGGCTCTCATGCATAAGTTGGCTGGGTTAAGATAGCCTTAATTACTCTCAGACAAACTTGTGTTTGATTTTCTCCTGCCTTCTGTGCTTTCCAGTTTTGTGCTGAGTGTTTCTCTGTCTTTCAGCCTGGATTGCAAGGTACTGAGTTCGTACCTTGGTCCTGTTTCTTCTGTATTTCCTGGGGAACTTGGTAGTGCTGTGCAACAGTGGTTACTTGGTGTATGCTAATTTTTCAAATTATTCCTTGCACCATTGTGACAGCCGCTGAAAAGTGGAAGACTTTTCTTAATGCGGTGAAACAGGTGCCGTGGAGCCCCTGCACATGTGCGGTGTGCGGCATGTGGGGCCCTCCTCACACCTGAGCCTGACTGGAGTTGGGTTTCAGAGCAGGGGCAGTAGGACTCCCCTTAGCATCCTGAGTGGACACTGTGCTCCCCACCCCCTCCACATCTGCTCAGCGTCTGTGGCCCCTGGTATGGGGTAACAGGGCCCTGAGGACCATGAGGGCTCTAGCCAGTCCTGTAGGTGGGGAGACACAGCCAGTTCTGCAGCCATCAGTTTCTGTCACGAGTGAGATGCTCAGATGGGGGCTTTAGATGTCATCAGGGTGTCTTCATACGGATGCCTGAGGGCTTGACAGGGTCTGCTTCTTCTGCATGTTTCTGAGATGTGCTGATTAGCTTGGGTGATGGACAGTAGCTTTTGGAGTGAAGTTGTTGTATTGTTCAGCTCTCTGTTTCTGGGACAAAACACCTGATGTGCACAATGTAACAGAGGATAGACCTGTTTTGGCTCATGGCTTCAGAGTTTTCAGTCCGTGGTCAGGTGGCTCGAAGGCAGAAGCATCCTGGGAGGAGGGCCTGGCAGAGGAAGGCTGCTCACCTTATGGCAGCCAGGAAACAGAGAGCAGGGGAAGAACAGGAGAGAGCTGCATCCTTCTGGGACACGGCCCCAGTGGCCTAGTTCCTCCAGCCAGGCCCCTTGTCCTAGCATCCCCTCAGCTGTGAACTCACGATGCCCTGTTGACGAGGTCAGTGCCTTCAGGGTCCAGGCACCTACTAGTCCCTGCATCTGGATGGCATTGCCGTGGGGAATGAGCCTTCAACACAAGGTCTTCAGGCTGACCCTTCATGTTTAATTGTAACAGCTGCCTTGCGGGGTAGAAAGGTAAAGAGCACAGGAAGTGTGCTTGAAATATATAGTGAATGTTTGAAGCTTCAGCATTTATTACAGTGAAAGGCATACTGCCTTTAATTCCCCTCACAAGGCTCCCTCTTCCTTTGAGCACACTTATCCCAGCATCTTTCTGCTTTTGAAGCATTCCTGGGAGTCTTCATTTGTGAGTGTCTTTCCAGGGTATAGTCAAGAATACGGTGAAGCTGCTGCCAAGAACCATCTGACAGAAAGACAGGCTTGTGAAATATTACGGTGGGTCCTCGCCACCTTATCCCTTGGATCTGGCATCTTGTGTCTTCTAGCTTTTCCCCAGAGTTAAGATGACCGTGAAAGGTAAACCTTTTGAATCAATTCAAGACAGCAGGGGAGCCACAACAGCACAAATGAAGACACTCAGAAATGAGGATTTCCAGAAGTGCTTCAGAAAGTGGCAAGAATGATAGGCTGTGTGTGTGTGTGTGTGTGTGTGTGTGTGTGTTACTAGTGATATTAATGGCAGTATGTCTTTTACTGTAATACAATTTTTAAAAATATACACATTCATGTCATTTTTGGTCATGCCTTGTACATATTTGCAAAACTCTTACGTCGGTGCCCAAATCCTCATATAGGGCTTCCTGAGCCGGCCTGAAAAGACACTTTGTTGTTTAGTAGCCAACTGGTACATGAAAATAGGAGACCAACAGAAAGATAGGCATGGAAGAAAATCATCTTTCTTCATTAAAAAAAAAAAAAAGTGCTTTGGGAGAAGACAAAAAGGAACCAATAGTTACAGATTTAAAAATGCAAAAAAGATAGGCTGTGTGTGTGTGTGTGTGTGTGTGTGTGTTACTAGTGATATTAATGGCAGTATGTCTTTTACTGTAATACAATTTTTAAAAATATACACATTCATGTCATTTTTGGTCATGCCTTGTACATATTTGCAAAACTCTTACGTCGGTGCCCAAATCCTCATATAGGGCTTCCTGAGCCGGCCTGAAAAGACACTTTGTTGTTTAGTAGCCAACTGGTACATGAAAATAGGAGACCAACAGAAAGATAGGCATGGAAGAAAATCATCTTTCTTCATTAAAAAAAAAAAAAAGTGCTTTGGGAGAAGACAAAAAGGAACCAATAGTTACAGATTTAAAAATGCAAAAAGACAAACCCACCGGACCATGGCTTATGTGAATTCTGAATCTGAAGGCCTGCACGGCACACTGCCAGGACCCGGCCGTCAATCCCTTGACAAGAGCAGCTGCAATCCTGCTGCCTGTCCTGTCTGGCCTTGTGGCCAATGCTGGGCCAGGCTCCAGGGCTGGAAGGTACACAAGGCCCAGGGTGGCCCTGTCCAGCTCCGATCCATCGGGATCATGGCCCCACAGCTCGTGCTTATCCTCAGCACCCCACTAGTGTTCTGGGGAGGGTGGGAGTTAAATTGGTTTGTGTTATTCTGGCAGGAGGAGGCAAGACAGGACGTAGGTAATGACTTTGCTGTGGTGGGAGCCAAACCAGGGCCTTGCATGTGCTAGGTGAGCCTTCTGCCAGGGAGCTGCGGCCCAGCCCAGGGTTGTTCTCTAGCTGAAGAATGGAGCTGTTGTCAGGCCCAACTCTCTGAAGCCTGGCCCAGCCAACCCCTTTCCCTCCAGCCGAGGAAGAAATGCATGCTGCCCTGTGTGTGTATAGCAGATGTAATAGGCACAGTGCTGCTCCTCTGTGGCCTCTGTAAGGCCGGGCAGGGGAAGGCAGCAGTGTCCTCAGCCTGGGGCTGCTGGCGCTTTTGCCGTAGTCCCATAGAGCACTGCTGAGATCCAGGAGGAGATGAGAGTGGCAGTTCTTAGGCGTCGGGAGGCAAAGGACTGTGCAACCCTGTTAGAAAGCAGACGGGACCTAGAGTTGATTCGTGTTTGTTGATCCAAATTACTGATTTCAGAGAATGTACTTGCTGTCGCTACTCAGTATGGGGCTGTTCTTCTCGGGGTCTCTGAGCTGCCACACGGAACCCCAGAGCAGGGCCGTGTCCAGTCTGAGCAGCTTCCTCCTGGCTCACCTGGCCACGCTTTCCTGTGGTACTGTGTGTGTGGGCACCTGGGTCCCTGGCACATCCTGCTCCCTCTCCACCGCCCACCTCAGAGACCCCTCCTTATCAGTTCATCTCCATCAGTTCCTTCCTTGCAAAATACTCTGTCCTGTGAACTCTTCCAGCACTTTCTACGGGGCTCAGGAATCATCCGCTTCCTGCAGGCTGAGAACATATCTAATTCATCTCTGACGTGGCTAATTCCTATTTTAACATCTTGCATTCAGTGAACATTCATTCTGTAAATAAAGTCACTAGGCCCACAGCCTAGGTGTCATGTGAGTGCTGAGTGTCCAGAGCAGCAGGCTCACTGGGCCAGGAGGCAGAGACAGTGTGCAGTGATGGGATGTGGGCAAGATTGCACCTGGTCTCCTTGCTGGTCTGCTGAGGCGGCGGCATTGATGGCTTCATCCTACCCGTGTGTGCCAGCACTTGGGACATGCAGCGAGCACAGGAGTGGGGAATGGTCACAGACTGACAGGGCTTCTGGTGGCTGAGAGGTTCCTGAAGGGGAAGCTTCCCCCGTTTGTAGGTTCTCTGGGTGCCAGAGCTGGGTGAGAAGGTGGCAGTGTCACAGGGGGCAGCTGGAGTCCCCCACCATCCTCAGGCGGGAGAGGAGGGAGGGCTGGGGGCTGGAGTGCTGAGGCCATTCTGTCCACT